AAACAAAAACAAAAACAAAAACCAAATAAAAAAAAAAAGTGGTATGTTCTTAAATCTAATGTCATTTCCCCATAGCAGTTTTATTTCTATAACATCTAAATTCCCAAGTTGTTGCGTCATATTTAGTTTGTTTTCTTATGCAATTGATTTAAGGACATCAGCATAACATTTTGGAATTTGGAATATTTTAAAATTTATATTATCATTTAGCTGTACTACTGTGCATAACGACTGCAAATTTCTGCAGATAATGAAGAATATCTTTCCATACATATCTTCACCACATACCAACCTTTTCATTCTTTGAAATTTTAGTACAAGGCACTAAGTGTAGACATCATTCGATTTTTGTTATACTGTCAGAAATTGTATTTTCAAAACAAGGGTTTTTGTAAGTCCTTAATCCAAATAATGTTTAATAGACTTATCGATAATGTGGATTGGATAATCATTTCGTAGTAAGATTATTTTTTTAAAGTTAGACAGATCATCGTGTAGGTCAAGTCAAATGTTAATTTTGTAGATTTGTTTATTGACCAATCTTAATTTGTAATTATAAGGCAGAAACAAATCATAGACCACTAAAAGTGTTATTTTTTCTAAAGAAAAATGTTTTCACTTCACCATCCTATTTGTAAATGAATACATCAAAAAATTGAGTCTGTTACAATTTTCATTTTCCTTTGTCTATTGTTAATAAACCTGAAAACAACATTTATTATAGGTGGACCATTTAGTACACCTATTTTCAATTCAGAGTTACACTTGTTGCGTACCGTGTAGAATAAAGAGAACAAATGGTTTGGGGTACGGTATCCTCTATGTATAGAATCATAGCCCCTTAATGTTGGTCCAAAAGAAAGTTCGAAGTCTGATACTGAAGGCAGTAGAGGCGTAACTTTGGTTCCGGGAGCCGGCCTTGTGGCACTTTGAGACTGGGGGCCCTTTTTGGTTCACGATCACCAATTTCATTGTGAGATTATAGCTGTGCTAATTCCATTGCATTTTAAATGTTTTTAACAACGAAATAAATGATATGATCCAGGAATTTGAAATAAAGGCTGCCAGGCAGATTTTCACTGAAGGAGGGTCTATATATCCAACTCAGCCCCATGGTTATACCAAGGGCAGAAAATTTATGATTATGGCGCCTCAGATGGTCGGAAATGGTACTCACAGAATTAAAATTTGAATATAATTTTCTTTTGATTATACGTTTATCGTATCGTGCTAGTGAAACTTCTCTTATTTATTTTATTTTCAATATTAACAATTGCTTTTTAGCTATCGTTGATCATTATCGTCATAGTGTATACAGTCTTTTGCGTGACGCTAATCGAGTGGTACTGTGAGCTTGAGCTTTCGTTACCTCCTTCGTCGAGAACCAATCCGCCGAAAAAAGTGTTTTTGTGAATGACGTCACCAGTTTAGGCCTAGTTTTAGTTTTCTCGTACCCGCAACCTGAGATTCAGCCGCACGATCCCAGGTGAGAACCAGAATCGAGAACCAAAAACTGAATGTATATGTAACATTTCAATGCAAATTGATT